ATATTAATGGGGGGGGATGGACATGAGGAAGAGGAGTAAGGGAGAGGAGGAGGAGGAGTAAGGGAGAGGAGGAGGAGGAGGAAGGGACAGGAAAAGGAAGAGAACGACGAGATGGAATGGAAGAGGGGCAAGAAGAAGGAGGAGGAGGAGGAATGGATGGAGGGTGGAGGAAAAGAGAATATGGAGGACGACGAGGAAGAATAGGGAGAAAGAAAAGAAGTAATGGAAGAAAAACAAAGAAGAAGAAGAAACAAAAGTCGCCAGCGAGAAACCTGACCCCCCCCCATAATCGAGCCCCCCCCATCAACCCCCCCTCCCCTCCCCGTGGTGGTGGTAGCAGTGGTGTTAGTGATAACGGCAGATGTGGTGATGGTGGTGAGTGATTATGGTGATAACGGTGGTGATAGTGGTAATGGTGGTAGGGAATCTTATACGAGGTAAATTGCCAGCAGCCAATCACACGTTGCAACGGACCCAAAATTAAACCCACCACACACACACACACACACCACAAACAAACACACACACACACACACACCACACACACACACACACACTACTGCTACTACTACTACTACTACTTTGCTGTCACTCGGAATCGAGTATGACGATCATCCAACTATGACACAATGATATGAGTTATGAGGGATGTCACCTAGGTTGTTGAGTTTTGAGGTGACTAAAGAGACCGATACAGGACCTGCAGCGTCGTTCACTTTCGTTGCACATGTGGAGGGCTCCCTCTATTGCGGGAGGGGCGGTGGCAGCGTCTTTCCGGCGTTGGCGCTTGTCTGCCACGGTTTGCAGTCGGGCTAACTCGAAAGTATTGACACCTTCTCGTGTGGTGCTCCTCCAAGCGCTGCGATGTGGAGTAATCAACTCCCATGTGAGGGGGTCGATTTGGCACTTTTCCAGGTTTGTCTCAAGACTATCTTTATACCTTTTCAATTGCCCGCCGGAGTTACGTTTACTATTCGTTAGGTAACTGTAAAGTAACTGCTTTGGCAGTCTACTGTCCTCCACGCCGGTAACATGGCCAGTCCAACGTAATTGTTCATGGATAATGGTAGCCTCGATGCTCCTAGAGTTGGTGTCAGCAACAATACTGGCATTTGTTCTCTTGTCTTTTTAGGCAGACTATGTTTAGGGCACCTTTTCTAGCCCCCTCCCCATGTGGGGTGAGTAGAGTGGCTCCCTGAAAGGGCAGCTCAGTCGCATAGACAGGACCGGATTGATATGCTGCCTAGATCCCAGTGCATAAACAACCATCTTATATGTGCAGCCCATGTGCAGAGTTGTGATAGAGACTCCCGGCAGTCATCTCTGCCACTCGTCCATCGCTATAGGACTTTTGGGAGTATAGGGGTTTTGTTGATGATGAGTGGTATGATGAACTGGATGATGGCTGCGTGTAAGTCGATTTATGTGGTGAGGCAGAAGCACAGGCTGCAACCACACATCTCGCTCACCCTTTTCCTGATCCAGTGGTGCAAGTGTTGCAATGACTGGGGAGAGAGAGAGTTGCAATGGACTGCAGATAGCCCAGTTTGTTGGGTTTTGCCTTAGTAGCCTGTCCATCAGACATTGGCTTCGTCCGCAGGTGTAGTCGTTGGTTTTCCACGGTGGTCACCTCTTCTGCCTACACCGCCGTTGGGGTCTTGTTGGAGCTCTGTAAGCATGTCTGCCTGATGCTGGGCTCCACCCCAGATTTTTCGTTCGGGGTTTACTCCCGTAGCCTTATACCTGCCAAGGTTAATCTCCAAGGCAGCGGGGCGGTGGTTGGTAGGTGCCAGGACGTGTCCACATACCAGTGGGCCTATGCGCCGTCCCTCTGGGGCCCACTGCTACTCCGAGATCCCCTGCTGATCTAGCCTGGGCCCACGAGGCACCCAGTTACCGTGTGTTACCACGAGGAGGCACAGCAGGAGTCATGATGGTGAGGAGGCTGTGTACTGGCAAGGGAAGACTTATGCAAGTTGCTTCCCTGTTTGCCACGGGGGGCTAGCCAGCGGCGGCAGCTGAAAGCGAGACGGAGCAAGCAGTGCCCGCACCTTAACACTAACATAATGCTGCCGCTCTAGACTCATTTCACCACCCTGTGTGTGGCTGTACACGCACGCACGCACGCACGCACGCACGCACGCACGAACACACACACACACACACACACACACACACACACACTATATCCTTGACCACCAGAGGGTCAAGACCTATCAGGCGCTGCTCCTGCTGGGCAGCTGCCTCCCTTGGCCAATGTTCCACCCATTTCCCAAGTCCTTCTTCCCGACCCATCCTCACCACCGGGATATCAACATCATCAAAAGTGACAATTTCGTTTCGAAAAGAAGTGGGATCAGTGTAGAACAGTGATGGACAGTGTTTAAGCCAGCGAATTCAGCACTAGACATTACCAGCGAAAGCAGTGACGCACCAGTGAAATAAGCACCCCTGGGAACTGACCACCATCTTCTGACCAGGCGGTGCTAATCAGTCCACCCTGGGAACAACAGCGGGTCGGCTTTACATCTGACTACGAGATAACACAACACCACCCAGCAGGGCGAGGTACTATGACACCACCCCACACCATATGGTGTCTCCATGACCACGTGAGGTGCTTCATGTCAACACCCGAGGACGAGTTACTGCATCACGTGACCACACCACCCAATGTCTCCATGACCACGTGAGGTCCTTCATGTCAACACCTATGGACGAGTTACTGCACCACGTTAACACCACACCACCCGGTGTCTCCAAAACCACGTGAGGTCCTTCATGTCAACATCTACGGACGAGTTACTGCACCACGTGGCCTACGTGACCTCACACAGTATGGCAAAAGACCAGCCCAGGCCATCAGCTGCAAACTATAATAATTTGTATGTTCAATTCATGTTCCTTCTTCTTTCAGTAATGAAAGCTTTTGTTAAACGACCCACCCACCCCATGTCTTTGTATGTAATAAGTCATTTTTGTCTAATGTATATTTTTAGCCTTTGGGATGCATAACTTTTTCAAAAAATCGCCAATTATTATTATTATTATTATTATTATTATTACACACACACACACACTGGAAAAACAACTGGTGTTCGAACTAATACAACAAAATAGTCCAAATATCTAACATAGGCTAATGTTAAAATCTTATTATACTGCCGATAACTCATTATAGTGTTAATAGATATCATTATAGTGTTAACATACTCGTAAATCATTATAGTGTTAATGCAGACAGAACTCTCATGGAGGTGTAAAGATATTATGGAGAGAGAGAGAGAGAGAGAGAGAGAGAGAGAGAGAGAGAGAGAGAGAGAGAGAGAGAGAGAGAGAGAGAGAGAAGAGAGAGAGAGAGAGAGAGAGAAGCTTAAGTGGCGGCCTGAAGAATAATACACAAAAAAAATACATGAAAGGAGGGAGGGAAAGACAAGAGGGACTGAGAGATTGGAAGGGAGGGAGGGAGAGACAGAGAGAGACTCATATTACCATATACATGAACCCAACACTGACTCAGCCACCAAAGCCGAGAGATAGAGCGAGAAAAATATGTCATGCACCTGACCTAACCTAACCCATATTAACCTAACCTAAACCAGCCTTATTAAACCCACCCCAAATGAACCTAACCTAACCAAACCTTAAACCTAACCTAACTCACACTAACCTTACCCTTAAACCAAAGTATTCCCACCCAGCTTCTTCCCAGCTTAAGGGTGTTCTGAGGCGACAGCTCAACGCATGTTTCTGGTAGCACAGGTATACAACCACCCCCCCCCACCACCACCACCTTCCTTCCTCCTACTAAACCTCAGGGGAACAGGTGTAGTATTGATTCTTGTGTAGGTAGCAGCGCCCGTGTGTGTGTGTGTGTGTGTGTGTGTGTATGTGTGTGTGTGTGTGTGTGTGTGTGTGTGTGTGTGTGTGTGTGTGTGTATCATAATAACATGACTGGAGAGGGTCATTTAAAGAGGACTACCAACCTACTTACAATACAAATAGGGTGAAAAGGTAAGAACTCAACAACACAACTTATCTACTAGGATATTCAATGCTTGGAATAGAGGTGACCTTGAAGTATTAGGTCATAGGGGTCTAAGTGCGGCTGTCATGTCGAACAGCAATTAGCAGACGGGGGATCTCAGGTGGTTGCAGGTGCTGGTGTTGAGGTGGTAGTGTTGACCTAGTGTAGTCTGACATAGGGGGTCTTGGTGATGAGGAGGGAGAGTTAAGAGAGCCAATGTAGTGCGCGCCTCTTGGTGTGTGGTGTAAGAGAGAGAAGGGGAGGGGGGGGGAGTGTTGCAGGCCGACCTGTTCTGTAGTCTCTGTAGGAGTCCTCGTTGTGATGTAGTTAAGGAAGACAACCAGACAGGGGAAGCGTAGGTGAGTTTAGCAAGTAAGAACGCTGTGTAAATATTAATGAGTTCAGGCGCAGAAGCTCAGAGGGACTTGAGACAGCGGAGGATGTGGAGCCGAAAGCAAGATGATTTGATGGTTGTACTGACGTGCACTTTCTTGCTTTGTTTATTACTTATAGTGACGCCGAGGAGCTTGGTGGTATCCACAACCTGGAGAGTGTTTGGGCCCAGTGTGATGGAGGCAGGTGGGACAGGTGTACAGTATCTCAAAGTATCTGCCAGGATGGGTTAGATGACTTCCAAAATGCTACATACAACTCGTCATGTCCCAGGAGGGTTGGTATGTGAGCCTCTGTGGCATACTGATCCTACTATTAATTACACCAAAATAAATACACATTGCATTACTCGTGTTAAATTATATACCAAAGTAAATGCATGTCCTAATATCTATCATCTGTCGTCTCATAATGTTTCACACAGTGTACTCATGTATTTTTTTTTTAGATACTGTACATAACGATGGTCTTGGTGGATCAATGTCCAGTGTGTTCTGGAGGAAACTGTAATCAGGAGTCGAGTTGTTGACACACACATGCCAAAGGTGGGATATACAGTATCTCCTTCAGGGCATCGTTGATGAGGGCGAAGAAGCAGAGCCTCAGGAGGTCCCTCAGGTGAGTGACTGAAAGTTGCAGCTTAGCATCGGTCGCAGAGGAAGACTGCAAGCCATGGGATGAGTCTTCTCCGAATCCCAAGGTCGATGACTTTGATCATAATTGTGATGTTATAAACTAAGGCGAACACTTTGGTGGAGCGTATGAAGACGAGAGCGTGTGCGTGTGTGTGTGTGTGTGTGTGTGTGTGTGTGTGTGTGACCCAAGCACAGTATAACGGTGATATTTCTCTCCCGCGCTCCTGAGGTGGTTTAAGGGGGTCCTCAACCCTTTTAAATTCAGGGTAGGAGCTGCACTGCCTTCTTTTGGTGTGGCAGCCGACTTCCTCTCCCTCCTTCTCTCTCTCCCTCCCTCCCGCCCGTCTGAGACAAGAAGGCAAGGACGTAAGTAGGTAAGAAGGGAAGGGGCGAGGGAAAGAGAGCAAGGAGGAAGAAAGGTAGAGAGGAAGGAAGGCGGGCAGGCAAACAGTGAACCAGGCAAGCAGCAAGGCAGGCAGACAAGGAGCCAGACAGGCAAGAAAAAAGCCTGGCAGGCAAGCAGGCAGACAAGGAGCCAAGCAGACAGGCAGGCACACAAGAAACCAGATTGGCAGGTAGGCAGGCAAAGAGCCAGCCTAGCAGGCAAGGAACCAAGTTAGCAGGCAAGAAGCCAGGCAGGGAGGCAGACAAGAAGCCTGGCAAGCAAACAGGCAGGCAAGAAGCCAGGTAGGCACCAGGGACCCACCAACAGCGCCGTAGTGAACAGGACCACTTTTTGTGTGTGCCTGCAGGTACTGGTTCGTCTCTGGTCTAACACCGCCACAAGACCTGTGTGTTTTTTCTCTTAACTCATATTAATCTCCAGTAACACACCGCTAAGACTCAACGACAGGCGGACACGACGGCCCGCAACACAACATCCGGATGTCTCCCTTCTCACCTCCCTGCCGTCGACACTAAGTCGTGTTCCCGTGTGACCCTTCCATCGACGACAAGTTTCCCTGTATCAAGGTTGTAGAGCGGTGGTGAGGCGAGGATCAAGCGAGCTCCGTACATCACAATACTTCATAAGGGGCAACGAACCTCTGATCTGGTCAATACCATAAAAGGTGAATGACGGGGCGCTTTACACACCCCGACCACTTACTCCACACATCCATATAAGTACACAAATTCCTCTCTCTTTTTTTTTACTACAGTAATCCAATGTATAAAAGTTACCACCCTAACTAAGGTGAGTTTCAGATACTTAAGAAAAACATATACAGTAAATAATAATAAATATAGACTTTTCCTGAATTACGACAATACTATTTTGTAATTACTGTCCCCGTTTAAATTTGTACTTGTAACCTTCAGTGGTGTTCAAATCTTCGTGTTAGAATTTATGTAACTAACTGTACCTGTATCTTATGTGTTGTTTATGTTGTTTATTTATATATTCAAGTACCTGTAATTATATCTGTATTCACACCTGTACCTTTCAAGTTCTCTTTGTTATAATTACATGACCTGAAACTTCACATTACAGTTAGCGTAGACAATACACTATAAGCTAATTCACATTAAATTTCATAAAATTACTTAAACTTGGTGTTACTTCTGAATATATTGAAGAAAACAGAACGATAATAATCCTTTAAGGCGAAAGTCTTAAGTGAGTGTAGATTATTGTCGCTCTTATTGTTCCTACTGATTAACAGGTGATGTCTTTCAATGACCTTGTATTAAGAGGACCAGTTTCTCTGTGGACGTACAGTACATTAGCTTCTTCACACCGTTTGAGCAGACACACACACACAAACACACACTTACACACACACATATACACACAGATATACACACACACATATACACACAGATACACACATACACAGACAGGCAAACACACACTTACACACACACACATATACACACAGATATTCACAGTCACACAGACACAAAATGAAAACTAACTCTACGCCACAAGACTAACCTATAGCTAACATCATCACCATCATCATCATCACCATCATCACCATCACCATCATCACTACCACCACCACCACTATTCATCATCATCTTCATTATCATCACCATCATCATCACCATCATCACTACCACCCCCACTATTCATCATCATCATTATCATCACACCATCATCATCACCATCATCACTACCACCACCACCACTAATCATCATCATCATCATTATCATCGCCATCATCATCACCATCATCACTACCACCACCACCACTATTCATCATCATCATCATTATCATCACACCATCATCATCACCATCATCACTACCACCACCACCACTATTCATCATCATCATCATTATCATCACACCATCATCATGATCACCAACACCACCCCCACCACCATCACCTTACCTAACCTACCTAAACTTTACTAACCTAACCTAACCATAACCCAACCAAAACCTAACCTAACCATAACCCAACCATAACCTAACCTAACCATAACCCAACCATAACCTAACCATAACCCAACCTAACCTAACGTACTAACCCAGTAACTCTCATGCCGCGACGCCTGACTTCCTACAGCGCTGCACTTCCATCATCCAGACCAAAAATTAACATATATATGAATACAATCACGACAAGAGATGACGCCAAGTACTGCTGTGTGTGTGTGTGTGTGTGTGTGTGTGTGTTGTTGTGTGCAGAACTCAATACCAATATATTTTGCTCCACACACACACACACACACACACACACACACACACACACACCATAAATATTCTCTCCCTCTCTCCCACAACCACTCACCTAGCCTAGCCCACGCCCTTACCCAATATTCCCACGCCCTTACCCAATATTCCCACGCCCTTAACCAATATTCCACGCCCATACCCTATATTCCCACGCCCTTATCCAATATTCCCATTACCCATATTCACGCCCACCTAATATTCACGCCCTTACCCAATATTCCCACGCCCCTCCAATATTCACGCCCTTACCCCAATATTCACGCCCTTATCCAAATTCACGCCTTTACCCAATGTTCCACGCCCTACCCAATATTCACGCCTACCCAATATTCCCCCTACCCAATATTCCCACGCGCCTTTACCCAATATTATGCCCACCCAACATTCCACGCCTTACCCAATATTCCCACGCCCACCCAACATTCCCACGCCTTTACCCAATATTCCCATACCCAATATTCCCACGCCCTTACCCAATATTCCGCCTTTACCCAATATTCCCACGCCCTTACCCAATATTTACCCTCCACGTTCCCACGCATTCCCACGCCTTACCCAATATTCCCACGCCTTTACCCCTACCCACGCCTTTACCCAATATTCCCACGCCCTTACCCAATATTCCGCCTTACCCAATATTCCACGCCCCCCCAATATTCACGCCCTTACCCAATATTCACGCCCCATTCTGCCCTTACCCAACATTCCCACGCCCCACAACCAATATTCCCACGCCCTTACCCATTATATTCCCGCCCTTACCCAATATTCCCACGCCCTATCAATATTCACGCTTTACCCAATATTCCACGCAATATTTATCAATATTCCACGCCCACCAATATCCACGCGCCTTACCCAATATTCCCACGCCCTTACCCAATATTCACGCCCTTATCATATTCACGCCCTTACCCTATTACGCCTTTCCCGCCCCCAATATTCCCATTACCCAATATTCACGCCCTTACCCATTCCACGCCCCATCCAATATTCCCACGCCTTACCCAATATCCCACGCCACGCCCTTATCCAATATTTCACGCCTTTACCCAATATTCCCACGCCCCCCACTCCCATATTCCCGCGCCCTTACCAATATTCCCATACTCCCACGCCCTTATCCAATATTCCCACGCCCCACCCTATTCACGCCCTTACCCTATATTCCCACGCCCTTATTATTATTCTCACGCCTTACCCAATATTCACGCCCTTACCCAATATTCACGCCCTACAATATTCCCATATCCAATATTCCCTAACTAACCTAACCAAACCTAACCTAACCAAACCTAACCATGCAAATTTATAGTAATTACAACAATGACAAAAAATAAATAAATAAAAAATCTGAATAAACCGATCATTGTGTTTTGTGGAGCGTCTCAATATATGGCTGAGTGCAAAAATAGTTAAGATAATGAGGCGTTTGTCCCGTTAGCAAAAATAACAAGTAAGTCACGCGTTCTGGGTTATATACATACATACATACATACAACATACATACATACATGCACACATACATGCATACATGCACACATACATACATACATGCACACATACATACATACATACATAGACTCCCTCTCACCATAAACACGAGTTCATTATACATAAAGAAACTATAAACGTATAAATCACACACACACACACACACACACACACACACACACACACACACACACATACACACACACCATAAATATTTCTCTCTCTCTCCCTACAATCCAATATTCACCACCCCCAGCCTAGCCCACGCCATATACCCAATATTCATTCCCACGTCCTTACACTCCAATATTCCCACGCCCTTAACCAATATTCCCACGCCCACTATATTCACGCCCTTATCAATATTCCACGTCCTTCCAATATTCCCACGCCCTTACCCAATATTCCACCTTACCCAATATTCCCACGCCCTTATACAATATTCACACCCCTTACCCAATATTCCCACGCCCTTACCCAATATTCCACGCCCTTACCCAATATTCCCACGCCCTTATCCAACATTCCACGCCTTTACCCAATATTCCCACGCCCTTACCCAATATTCCACGCCCTACCCAATATTCCACGCCCTTACCCAATATTCCACGCCCTTATCAACATTCCCACGCCTTTCCAATATTCCCACGCCCTTACCCAATATTCCCGCCTTTACCCAATATTCCCACGCCCTTCCAATATTCCACGCCCTTATCCAACATTCCACGCCTTTACCCAATATTCCCGCCTTTCCAATATTCCCGCCCTTACCCAATATTCCACGCCTTTACCCAATATTCCCACGCTACCCAATATTCCACGCCCTTACCCAATATTCCCATATACCCAATATTCCGCCTTTACCCAATATTCCCACTTACCCAATATTCCCGCCTTTCCCAATATTCCCGCCTTTACCCAATATTCCACGCCCTTACCCAATATTCCACGCCTTTACCCAATATTCCCGCCCTACCCTATATTCCACGCCCTTATCAATATTCCACGCCTTTACCCAATATTCCGCCCTCAATATTCCCGCCTTTACCCAATATTCCACGCCTTTCCTCCCACGCCCTTCCAATATTCCCACGCCCTTACCTATTCCACGCTCTTACCCAATTTCCCACGCCCTTACCCAATATTCCCACGCCCTTACCCAATATTCCCACGCTCTTACCCAATATTCCCACGCCCTTACCCAATATTCCCGCCCTTACCCAATATTCCCACGCTCTTACCCAATATTCCCACGCCCTTCCAATATTCCACGCTCTTACCCAATATTCCCGCCCTTCCAATATTCCACGCCTTATCAATATTCCCACGCCCTTACCCAATATTCCCGCCCATACCCAATATTCCCAGGCCCTTATCCAATATTCCCGCCTTTACCCAATATTCCCACGCCCTTACCCAATACTCCACGCCCTTATCCAATATTCCACGCCCTTACCCTATATTCCCACGCCCTTACCCAATATTCCACGCCCTTACCCAATATTCCACGCCCTTATCCAATATTCTCGCCTTTACCCAATATTCCATTACCCAATACTCCACGCCCTTACCCAATACTCCCACGCCTTATCCAATATTCCCACCTTACCATTTTCGCCCTTCCCATCAATTACCCACCTTATTTTACCCAACTTTCCCACATCCACCTATTACGCCTTACCCACTAAACCCCACATATTCGCCCTTACCCAATATTCACGCCCTTATCCAATATTCTAACCTAACCTAACCAAACCTAACCTAACCAAACCTAACCATGCAAATTTATAGTAATTACAACAATGACAAAAATAAATAAATAAAAATCTGAATAAACCGATCGTGTGTTTTGTGGAGCGTCTCAATATGGCTGAGTGCAAAAAATAGTTAAGATAATGAGGCGTTTGTCCCGTTAACAAATAACAGGAAATGCGATGCGTTCTGGGTGACATACATACATACATACATACAACATACATACATACATGCACATCCACATGCACACATACATACATACATGCATACATACATACATACATAGACTCCCTCCTCACCATAAACACGAGTTCATTATACATAAAGAAACTATAAACGTATAAATCACACACACACACACACACACACACACACACACACACACACACACACACCAGTATTGACGACACTATGCATATTTTACCGCCATAGGATTACATTATTCACCCGATGATTAATGAAAACGATCCCTTACCTTTACTGAACCTCACTCTGACAGCTTTTGTGTGTGTGTGTGTGTGTGTGTTGTGTGTGTGTAAACAATTGCCTCTTGTTCTCACCGTGTCTTAAGAGGCAGAGGAACCGTAATGAATGTTCTTTTGCTAATGTTTTGAGAGAGAGAGAGAGAGAGAGAGAGAGAGAGAAGCAGTATTGAAGATGTGTCCAGAATATGAAAAAACAAACAAAAATAAACACATTACTTCCCATATAGACTTAGACGTCAAATAAAAGTATCCACACTGGCCCCTGTATGAGGTTAATTTACCATCACCACCTGAAACACCTCCACCTGTGCCTTACATCAGTACCTGGACGTGAAGGAGTGTTTATATTCTACGTAGGTAAGAGTTTTGGCTCAGACTGACACGAAGGAGGAGGTAGAAAGGAAGGGAGGGTGGTAGGGGAGGGGTAGGAGAAAGGGGAAGGAAGAAGAAGGGAAGGAGGAGATAAGGGAGACGGGAAGGAGGAAGGAACGATGGGAGAGATGGGGAAGACAGGAAAGGATGAGGGCGAGAGGTAGGAAGAAATGAGGGCGGGAAGAAAAGAAGGAGGTAGGGAAAAGATTGGAGGGAAGAAAGGAAAGAGGAGGAAGAAGGGAAGGAGAAAGGCGAGAGGAAGAGAAAAGGAAGAAAGGAAGGAAGGAAGGAAGGAAGGAAGGAAGGAAGAAGGAAGGAAGGAGGGAGTGAGTGGTGTGTAGAATTAAGAGGAAAAGGGGAATAATAAAAAACAAGGAAAGATAAACTGAAAAAAACACAGTTATGGTTTAATTAAATCTGTTTATGGCTAACATGATCCTCTCTCTCTCTCTCTCACACACACATTGAAAAAAACAATCTCTCCTCTCTCTCTTTCAATAATTGTATACATATTAGAGAGAGAAGACAGACAGACAGACAGACACACACAGAGAGAAGAGAGAGAGAGAGAGAGCTGCTTCACCAAGTTATATTAAAAACTATGGTAATATATAACTTACAGTACACTTTGAAAACTTGTCATATTAAGGGATAAAACCATATCTTATACGCCAGCTTGAGATGGTGGTAGTGATGGTGGTAGTGGCGATGGTGGTGGTTGTTGACGGTGGTAGTGGTGGTAGTTGTTTGCTGTTGGTGGTGATACTTGTTGGTGTTGTTGTTGATGGTGGTGGGGGTGGTAGGTGTTGATGGTGATAGTGGTAGCTGGTGATGGTGGTAATTGGTGATGGGTAGCTACATGGTGGTAGCTGATGATGGTGATAGCTGGTGATGGTGGTAGCTGGTGATGGTGGTAGCTGGCGATGGTGATAGCCGACACTGTGGCTGTCTTATAGGGGAAAATATCAGCTGACGTAAGGTGAAAGAAGCGATCGGTGGTAGGATTTTTTTTCCTGAGGCAGAAATAAATGAGAGAGAGAGAGAGAGTGTGAGTGTGTGTGTGTGTGTGTGTGTGTGTGTGTGTGTGTGTGTGTGTGTGTGTGTAAAATTCACTCCACTACAAAAAATTACTGTTACACAAGTTTTCATCTTTATTTAATATTCTGTATAACGATGGTCGTCGACTACAGTTGAAAAAAAAATGTTTCATGTATGGGGTAGAAAAACAGTTCTGTGAGATGAATAGTGACGAAATTCTGGAAACAATATCAAGGAGTCTTTAAAAAAAAAACTTCATATAACAATACAATCGTTTTACAATTTGCAAAAAACAAAACATAAATTATATTCTCTTAAAAAAAGTTCTGGTAAAAATTATTTTTTCCAATATAAATATAATTAATGTTCAATTATATATATATATATAGTTTTATGTGGGTTTCCCAATTTTGGACATGTGTGAGAGTCATGAAATTTACATGGCGATAGTGTTATATTTCATATCCCTTGTATTTGGGGATTACTGTAAGCTGCTTGTGTGTGTGTGTGTGTGTGTGTAGGATTGTACGTGGTTATGAATATATTGGAGATTTCATGAAACATGCACATTTAACCGTAATTCACCACACACACGCACATACACATACACTGGACATTCAACAACATGAAAGTCAGCAATGTATGTATCTGTATGTCAATTACTGTAATGGCAGAGAGAGAGAGAGAGAGAGAGAGAGATAACCCCACAAACCAACAAAGGGTGTTTTACATGTCAAAGGAACCCGTCTCTGCTCAGCGTCAACATCCAGCTTAACGTAAGGTCGATGTTAATTCATTCAAAGGACAGACGTGTGTGTGTGTGTGTTGGCCGGCCGACCCACTTACAGTGAGTTGTGGTTGGTCAGTACTACCACTGCGACACTAGTACCCGGGTTCTGATTGGCTGCCTGAGCGTAACATGTTGTTTTACGGAGGCTGTACACACACACACACACACACAGGGACACAAGCCGCCTGGCATGTGTCGTGATTTACACACACGCATGGTTAGAAATAATTGCACAGACATACACACATACACGCATACACGTAGTAAGTCACGTACAAATTACTTACACACACACACACACACACACACACGACCCCTAATAATAAGACTTAGAATAATAACCATAAGATTGATAGCAATACGAATAATAACAATAATACTAATACAAGTAATAACAACAACAACAACAATAATAATAATAAATAATAATAATAATAATAATAATAATATATAATAATATATAATAATAATAATAATAATAAAACAACAACAACAACAAAATAATATTGTTTGTTTTCTACCCTGAATAACCTAACAAACCAACCACCAACCTAACCTAACCTAACCTAACCTTAACCTTCTTCTTCAAAAACACGTAAATACATCATTTATTTTGCCTTCAATTCCTTACTTGACAACACATGCCAGGTGGTGTCTGTATCTACGTGACTATTCGACTCACTATCGACTATTCCGGTCTACTATCGACACTTCACGTCCCATATCGACACTTCAGGTCACGTTGGTTCTAGGTCAGGTCACGTTGGTTCTAGGTCAGGTCACGTCGGTTCAGGTCACGTTGGTTCTAGGTCAGGTCACGTTGGTTCTAGGTCAGGTCACGTTGGTTCTAGGTCAGGTCACGTTGGTTCTAGGTCAGGTCACGTTGATTAGTCAGGGAGAGGAGTTTCAATTCTCCGTCAGTACTTACGTGTAAAAATTTAACTCTTCTTTTTTCTTCGTCGTCATCATCATCTTTCATCTTCGTCTTCTCTTTTCTCCTTATCTTCTCGCTCCTTCTCTTCCTATTCTTTATTCTCTCCTTCTCCTATCCTCCTTTCTATCCTCCTCCTCCTCCGCCCCTTCCCCACCTCTTCTTTTCAACCCCCTCTTTCATCTTCTGCCCGGTAAACTACGGTCTATCTTAAGTAAACTCAGCCATGATAACATACTCAGTCGGCCAACAAGTATATGGTCACTATCATGGTGTGGTATAACTATGGTAAACTCAGTCATGATAACATACTCAATCGGCCATCAGTATACTCGGTCACTATCATGGTGTGTATAACTATGTAAACTCAGCCATGATACACCATCGCCAACAAGTATACTCGGTCACTATCATGGTGTGGTATAACTATGGTAAACTCAGTCATGATAACATACTCAGTCGGCCAACAAGTATACTCGGTCACTATCATGGTGTGGTATAACTATGGTAAACTCAGGCATAGTCAATGCATACAAGAGGTAAACTTTCAAATCAAAGTAAACCTGTCCATAATCAAGGCATACAACAGGTAAACTTGCCCACCATCAAGGTGTACATCAGGTAAACTTGCCCGCCATCAAGGTGTACATCAGGTAAACTGCCGCCATCAAGGTGTACATCAGGTAAACTTGCCCGCCATCAAGGTGTACATCAGGTAAACCTGTCCATAATCAAGGCATACAACAGGTAAACTTGCCCACCATCAAGGTGTACATCAGGTAAACTTGCCCGCCATCAAGGTGTACATCAGGTAAACTTGCCCGCCATCAAGGTGTACATCAGGTAAACTTAATCATGAAAGTCGGGTCTACAACAGAAAAAGCCCGTTCGTTATCCGAGTTTACAACAGGTAAAACCAACAAGTAAACTCGCCCAGCGTCTCGTCACACCTGGCCGGATGTAAACACAACGTTGGAGTCAGCTGTGATTCCTTAAACTGTTGTGATGTAAACAAAGAGCTTTAAATAGCCTGGAGAGAGAGAGAGAGAGAGAGAGAGAGAATGTAAAATTTAATTGGTTAGGTTAGGTTAAGTACCTCAAGTTACGTTAGATTAAGTTAAGTGAAATTAAGTCAGGTTGAAATAGGTTACATGAAATTAAGGAAGATTAAGTTAGGTTAATTGAAATAAGGTTAGGTTACCTCTTGATTAGGTAAGGTTAGGTTCCCTAGACTGGGTTAGGTTAGGTAAGGTCAGGTTAGGTTAATTCCTGATTAAGTAAGGTTAGGCTGCCTAGACTGGGTTAGGTTAGGTTAAG